TTTGTTTGTTTGTTTGGGTTTGTTTGCATGTTTCCTTTGGGTTGTTGTTTCTGTGTGAGTGTGTGTGTGTTTTAAGAAAATGAATGGAAAGGCAAAGGTTACATCTGTTTCCTAAGTTTATTTCATGAAACCAATAGGACCTATTTACATTTATAATTGTAAAAATACAGCACAACGTCTAAACATCTTAAATGGTAGCGTTTTTAAGAGGCTGAAAGATGAGATGTAACAGTAGGAAATGGCATCTCTATTAATGTGGAATATTAATGTGTATAATGAAGCTCTTTAGCAATTCTGACTCACCATTCTTTTAATAACAATACCAGATGAGGGAGCCTGCATCTTTGTTTTTCTTTGTTCCTTCTTTATACCCCTGTGTCTCTATGTTCTTCTGCTAGCTCTATGTGGACCTTTGCAGGCGTTTCATGTGCTGGCGTCCATGAGGGCTTATGTGCTGATCCCACCCTGTGTGTGCTTATGTGCTGATCCCACCTTGTTGCCTTAGTCTTTGAATTAGTCCCTTTACTGTTTCATGTTTCTATTTTTTCCTTAAATTTTCTGCTAACATTTCTCTGCATATTTCTTTTCTATCCTATACTCTCCCTTGGGTACATCACAGTAGTTAATTATATTCTTCATTGTGTCTTGTACTTTTTTATAGGAGCATATATTCATGCATTTATATTAAATACCGGCAAAACCTTTCTTTTCTTTTTTTTTTTTTTTTAAGATTTTATCTATTTATTTGTCAGGGACAGAGGGAGAGAGAGCGAGTGAGCACAGGCAGACAGAGAGGCAGGCAGAGGCAGAGGGAGAAGCAGGCTCCCTGCCGAGCAAGGAGCCCGATGCGGGACTCGATCCCAGGACCCTGGGATTATGACCTGAGCCAAAGGCGGTGGGTTAAAGCCTCTGCCTTCAGCTCAGGTCATGATCTCAGGGTCCTGGGATCGAGCCCCACATCAGGCTCTCTGCTCAGCAGGGAGCCTGTTTCCCCCTCTCTCTCTCTCTGCCTGCCTCTCTGCCTATTTGTGATCTCTGTCAAATAAATAAATTTTTAAAAATATTTCTTATCTGAGGAGAAAAAATATTTTAAATACTATTATGGTGAATACTCCAAATTCACCATAAACATATTTGTACTTCACTGTTTCTCATGTAGACGAAAATTTACAGCAATAAAATACAAGTGGATCACTTCTTACATGCCTTGTAGACTATCTCTCTGCACAAAATTAAGAAATATAAATAATAACCAATTCAAATAAAATTTACTATAGTGAGAGAGACTATTAAGTGTCCTTATCTATAGCTAAGCAACATGACAATGTCCCATCAACCAGGGAAAAAAATACTCCTTAGAACACTTAATGTGAAGGCCATGTTTAGAAAATCATGCAGTGAAATGAAACTGGTTCATAGTCTATCACAATTGTCTTATTATATTTCTTTCCTATTGCTCAATCTCTGTCAACTGTTGTAAGATTTTAAGATATGAAATCAAATTAAATGTATCTTTTTAGATTATAAAAGTAAGAGTTGAAGGCATGTATTTATTTATTTATTTATTTTTAAAGATTTTATTTATTTATTTGACAGAGAGAGAGATCACAAGTAGGCAGAGAGGCAGGCAGAGAAAGAGGCAAAGCAGGCTCCCTGCCAAGCAGAGAGCCCAATGCGGGGCTTGATCCCAGGATCCTCAGATCATGACCTGAGCCGAAGGCAGAGGCTTAACCCAATGAGCCACCCAGGCACCCCGAAGGTATATATTTAATTTGACACTGATTTTAAAATTAAAATAGAAATTTTACATTGGCTTTGAATTGAATATTAGAAAATTATCAAAATTGGCACTTCCAGTAAAGCCAGGGGGTATGGAGAATAGAAATACCAGCCTTAATTTTATTTCTGAAATGTAAAAAAGAAGAAGAAGAAGAAGAAGAAGAAGAAGAAGAAGAAGAAGAAGA